TTTTCATTAGTTACAAATAAATCTCCTGGGAAGAAAAACTGGTTGCATATTTGTGAATGACTTTCAGGATAGTGTGTTAAAATCCCACCCACTTGTTCTGCGGTCTGCAACTCCAGGAGTGTTGGAGTTGGGATCCGAGTGTGTGCATGCCTGGGGCAGCTCCAGGGCAGACTCCGGAAGGAGTTGTTTTTACGAGAGCTGTTGAGTGAGGCTATGATCCTGACCATGGGGTAGTGGTCTGAGTCTCAAGGCTGCAAACCAGGCTTTCCCCAAGGAGTTGGGCTTTTAAGAACTTTTTATTGGCTGTTTATGGAGTTTAGGAGCAGCATTCTTAGCATGAAAGGCTAAGTCAGTGTGTAGAAAGGAGGATCCAAGTTTTTTCCTCACCCGAGAGAGGAGGGCTGTGTGATTGCACATGAAGACGCTCTGTTTCGTCTGTCACTGAGCATGTCTGGGCAGGGACTGTTCTTTCAGGTCAGAGTCCTGGAGAAGTGAGAGATAAAGAGATTGCAGGACGGATGAGGTAAAATTAGATGTGAAACAGTCCCTGTGCCTTGGCTTCTTAATTGCCGGCTCACTTCTCATAAATGGAGTAAATGCTGAACAAGCTGACTTTGCCCTGCTTATTCCTGTAAATAAGGATGTGACTCATGATCGCTGCAATCTCCAAAACGCCATAGATACTATGGTGATTTGATTATTTAAAAATAGCTGGGAAAAAGAGCGAGAATTTGGTTATGGGTAAATTGAAGCGGTTTCTTCTGTTTTTATTTTGTGTTGCAGTTAGACTGTCCTGTGTCTGTCCCTCAGTGTTCTGAGAACGTGCAGTTTGTTCAAGCAAGTCTCTGGGATTTAACATTTCTGGAAACTAACAATGTGATCTCAGATCCCAGGCAAGAAACAAAGTCAAGCCTCAGCACGGAGTCACCGGCCTGCTAGTCAATCTCTTTCTTCTTCTCTGTACATAGATGAGTGTTGATAGCAGTTACATACACTGCTCTCTGTCTCCACACTGTTACACAATGATTTCGGCATCGCTGCAGATTTAGGGTGCTGTAGTAAGCCTTGTAAGTGGTGTCTGTTGGTCTTGAGCTAGCTGATCTGGAAACAGGAAGCAAAGCCCATCTTCATTGTTAGCCAGGTGTGGAGATCCTCAATGTAGAATTTCTGACAAACTTGGGTATGAATTCGAGATTTAGGATTAAGTTTCCACAAGAACTCTCTAGTTATTGTCCATTTTTTTTCATCATGTAAATCAGGGTCCTGGCAGAGAAGAGAATGCTTGAAGGGGGGAGGTAAGAAAGATAGCTAAAGGACAGGAATGTGTACAAAGTTGGGGGAATATTAAGGAAAACTGGAAAGGCTGTGAAGATGTTGGGGCTGGCCATCTCAGGCACATCTCCCTGAGGCTTTCAAGGGCAAGCAAAAGAACAGCTTTGGGATCTGGAATGAGCTGTTTTCTATGGGAGAGGTTATTTCTGACAAGGACCTCTTCAAACATTTGTCCTTGGATGAGGAACAAATTCACACAGGGTTTGGCAAGGAACAAAAGAAGCTCCCCAGTCTCTTCTTCCGTCCTTTAATTTTCTCCTGGGGCTCCCATTGGGCAAACTCAACCAGAAGCCAGAGGATCAG